ACTCCAAATACAGGGAGTGTTGACGGCTGCACCGTGGTTCAACAAGGCCGCCACTATCGCGGCGCTGCTCCTCTCACAGGCTGCAGAGAAACCAGAGTTTATTGAGGGAAATATCACCAGTCAACTACATACAGTATCACCATTTCAAACCCCTGCCCTACAGGATAATCCGAGTTCAGATCGTTATGTTGGTTATCTTAATGCCCAAATAAAAACCGTCAGATTTACCTTTGTAGAGCGGTGTCTCTTTGTCATAGTTGGAGGTATTAGTATCAGATCCCTTTTCCAGGAGCACCTGAACGCATGGCAACTGGTCTTTGCTGACAGCGACCATCAGAGCCGTCTCCCCGTGCTCGGTCCGCTTGTTGATCATCCCCGGCTGAGCTGAGCACGAACACGAGAGAAACTGTGTGTGAGAGTGTGTGTGTGTGTGTGTGTGTGTGTGTGTGTGTGTGTGTGTGTGTGTGTTGTGTGTGTGTGTGTGTGTGTGTGTGTGTGTGTGTGTGTGTGTGTGTGTGTGTACCTGACAGCAGTACTCTCAGACAGCTGTCCTGCCCGTACCATGCCGCCTGGTGAATGGCGAGCCAGCCCGGTTTACTTGGAAGCATCAGGTTTGTTTCCTGGACCATCGTCAGTGCTTTCACTTTGCTAACATCCCCGACACGGACCGCTCTGAACAGAGGCTCCTCCTCACTGCAGGGAAGAGACACATCAGGTACAGGTGAGATAGGTGAGACAGGTAGAACAGGTGGTAAGGTGAGACAGGTCAACAGAACTGGACTCACTCCACAGGTTCTGGAGCGATGTGGACCAGACTGCCATCAGGTCGGCGATACGCCACCATGCTCTTCCCAGCTCCCGTCATGAAGCGACTGACGGTCCCATCAAACGTCTTCCTGTCACAGTGACACAAAGACAGCAGCCAATCAAATCCCAGACACTGACCCAACATCCAATCAGAGCATAGACACTGACCCAACATCCAATCAGAGCTTAGACACTGACCCAACAGCCAATCAGAGCTCAGAATATGACTCAACAACCAATCAGAGCACTGTCAACACCTTATTGACATGCATACAATGCAAGTTTGAGTGGTGCAGGAATAAGTCCTGAAGCCCTTACATGAGTCAGCTTTTTTAGTCCTTCCGGTTTGCTTGTCTTGTAGTCAATGGTTTTCTGAATGTGTTTTTGGTTGTTAGCCTGAAATAAGGTCTGTGGTTAATAAGAGACCTTTGTAATACCCCACTGGTGAACGTCTGAAAGTTCTGAGGGTTTTAAAAGGTGGTCGTTAAAAGGTAATAAATGAGACTACTGAACGTCATTAAGCCAACATGGAGGGGATCAGGCAGATGCTGCCTTCAGGGTCCACTACAGAAATAGGACTTCCCTGCACAACGCTATTGTCACTGCTGAAAGAAAGAAGAGGAACATCCATTTATTAGCTGATACCAGCGTTCTGAATGTCAGTGCCATCTGCCCGAATGAAAGTCAAACAAAGAGGAAGAGGAAATAAAACCATGAGGTCACCTACGGGTCAGGAGGCTCTTCACTTGGAGGATTGTGGGAGCTGTGGTTTACAGGTGGATTGTGGGAGCTGTGGTGTACAGGTGGATTGTGGGAGCTGTGGTGTACAGGTGGATTGTGGGAGCTGTGGTGTACAGGTGGATTGTGGGAGCTGTGGTGTACAGGTGGGCTGTCCGTCAGACTGCGTGTGATGGCGAGCTGCAGCAGCTCTTCATCACTCAGGTTACATGGAGACAGAATAATCTTCAAGTAGTAGCCGCCATGCTGGAGCTGTGAGGAGAAACATCATAAAACAGACACCAGCACTGACTGTATACATGTCTGTTGGTGTAAAGCAGCACTGACTGCATACATGTCTGTTGGTGTGAAGCAGCACTGACTGCATACATGTCTGTTGGTGTGAAAGCAGCACTGACTGCATACATGTCTGTTGGTGTGAAGCAGCACTGACTGCATACATGTCTGTTGGTTGAAGCAGCACTGACTGCATACATGTCTGTTGGTGTGAAGCAGACTGACTGCATACATGTCTGTTGGTGTGAAGCAGCACTGACTGCATACATGTCTGTTGTGACAGCACTGACTGCATACATGTCTGTTGGTGTGAAGCAGCACTGACTGCATACATGTCTGTTGTGTGAAGCAGCACTGACTGTACATGTCTGTTGGTGTGAAGCAGCACTGACTGCATACATGTCTGTTGGTGTGAAGCAGCACTGACTGCATACATGTCTGTTGGTGTGAAGCAGCACTGACTGCATACATGTCTGTTGGTGTGAAGCAGCACTGACTGTTACATGTCTGTTGGTGTGAAGCAGCACTGACTGCATACATGTCTGTTGGTGTGAAGCAGCACTGACTGCATACATGTCTGTTGGTTTTGAAGCAGCACTGACTGTATACATGTCTGTTGGTGTGAAGCAGCACTGACTGTACATGTCTGTTGGTGTGAAGCAGCACTGACTGTATACATGTCTGTTGGTTGAAGCATCACTGACTGTATACATGTCTGTTGGTGTGAAGCAGCACTGACTGTATACATGTCTGTTGGTGTGAAGCAGCACTGACTGTATACATGTCTGTTGGTGTGAAGCAGCACTGACTGTATACATGTCTTTGGTTTGAAGCAGCACTGACTGCATACATGTCTGTTGGTGTGAAGCAGCACTGACTGTATACATGTCGTTGGTGTGAAGCAGCACTGACTGTATACATGTCTGTTGGTGTGAAGCAGCACTGACTGATACATGTCTGTTGGTGTGAAGCAGCACTGACTGATACATGTCTGTTGGTGTGAAGCAGCACTGACTGTATACATGTCTGTTGGTGTGAAGCAGCACTGACTGTATACATGTCTGTTGGTGTGAAGCAGCACTGACTGCATACATGTCTGTTGGTTTGAAGCAGCACTGACTGTATACATGTCTGTTGGTTGAAGCAGCACTGACTGTATACATGTCTGTTGGTGTGAAGCAGCACTGACTGTATACATGTCTGTTGGTGTTGAAGCACCTGACTGCATACATGTCTGTTGGTGTGAAGCAGCACTGACTGTATACATGTCTGTTGGTGTGAAGCAGCACTGACTGTATACATGTCTGTTGGTGTGAAGCAGCACTGACTGCATACATGTTCTGTTGGTGTGAAGCAGCACTGACTGTATACATGTCTGTTGGTGTGAAGCAGCACTGACTGTATACATGTCGTTGGTGTGAAGCAGCACTGACTGTACATGTCTGTTGGTGTGAACAGCACTGACTGCATACATGTCTGTTGGTGTGAAGCAGCACTGACTGTATACATGTCTGTTGGTGTGAAGCAGCACTGACTGCATACATGTCTGTTGGTGTGAAGCAGCACTGACTGCATACATGTCTGTTGGTGTGAAGCAGCACTGACTGCATACATGTCTGTTGGTGTGAAGCAGCACTGACTGCATACATGTCTGTTGGTTGAAGCAGCACTGACTGTATACATGTCTGTTGGTGTGAAGCAGCACTGACTGTATACATGTCTGTTGGTTTGAAGCAGCACTGACTGCACATGTCTGTTGGTGTGAAGCAGCACTGACTGTATACATGTCTGTTGGTGTGAAGCAGCACTGACTGCATACATGTCTGTTGGTGAAGCAGCACTGACTGCATACATGTCTGTTGGTGTGAAGCAGCACTGACTGCATACATGTCTGTTGGTGTGAAGCAGCACTGACTGTACATGTCTGTTGGTGTGAAGCAGCACTGACTGTATACATGTCTGTTGGTGTGAAGCAGCACTGATGCATACATGTCTGTTGGTTTGAAGCAGCACTGACTGCATACATGTCTGTTGGTGAAGCAGCACTGACTGTATACATGTCTGTTGGTGTGAAGCAGCACTGACTGCATACATGTCTGTTGGTGTGAAGCAGCACTGACTGCATACATGTCTGTGTGTGAAGCAGCACTGACTGCATACTGTCTGTTGGTTGAAGCAGCACTGACTGCATACATGTCTGTTGGTGTGAAGCAGCACTGACTGTATACATGTCTGTTGGTGTGAAGCAGCACTGACTGTATACATGTCTGTTGGTGTGAAGCAGCACTGACTGCATACATGTCTGTTGGTGTGAAGCAGCACTGACTGTATACATGTCTGTTGGTGTGAAGCAGCACTGACTGTATACATGTCTGTTGGTGTGAAGCAGCACTGAATGCATACATGTCTGTTGGTGTGACAGCACTGACTGTATACATGTCTGTTGGTGTGAAGCAGCACTGACTGTATACATGTCTGTTGGTGTGAAGCAGCACTGACTGCTACATGTCTGTTGGTGTGAAGCAGCACTGACTGCATACATGTCTGTTGGTGTGAAGCAGCACTGACTGTATACATGTCTGTTGGTGTGAAGCAGCACTGACTGCATACATGTCTGTTGGTGTGAAGCAGCACTGACTGCATACATGTCTGTTGGTGTGAAGCAGCACTGACTGCATACATGTCTGTTGGTGTGAAGCAGCACTGACTGTATACATGTCTGTTGGTGTGAAGCAGCACTGACTGCATACATGTCTGTTGGTGTGAAGCAGCACTGACTGCATACATGTCTGTTGGTTGAAGCAGCACTGCTGCATACATGTCTGTTGGTGTGAAGCAGCACTGACTGCATACATGTCTGTTGGTTTGAAGCAGCACTGACTGTATACATGTCTGTTGGTTTGAAGCAGCACTGACTGCATACATGTCTGTTGGTGTGAAGCAGCACTGACTGTATACATGTCTGTTGGTGTGAAGCAGCACTGACTGTATACATGTCTGTTGGTGTGAAGCAGCACTGACTTATACATGTCTGTTGGTTTGAAGCAGCACTGACTGCATACATGTCTGTTTGTGTGAAGCAGCACTGACTGCATACATGTCTGTTGGTGTGAAGCAGCACTGACTGTACATGTCTGTTGGTGTGAAGCAGCACTGACTGCATACATGTCTGTTGGTGTGAAGCAGCACTGACTGCATACATGTCTGTTGGTGTGAAGCAGCACTGACTGTATACATGTCTGTTGGTGTGAAGCAGCACTGACTGTATACATGTCTGTTGGTGTGAAGCAGCACTGACTGCATACATGTCTGTTGGTTTGAAGCAGCACTGACTGCATACATGTCTGTTGGTGTGAAGCAGCACTGACTGTATACATGTCTGTTGGTGTGAAGCAGCACTGACTGTATACATGTCTGTTGGTGTGAAGCAGCACTGAATGCATACATGTCTGTTGGTGTGAAGCAGCACTGACTGTATACATGTCTGTTGGTGTGAAGCAGCACTGACTGTATACATGTCTGTTGGTGTGAAGCAGCACTGAATGCATACATGTCTTTGGTTGAAGCAGCACTGACTGTATACATGTCTGTTGGTGTGAAGCAGCACTGACTGTATACATGTCTGTTGGTGTGAAGCAGCACTGACTGCATACATGTCTGTTGGTGTGAAGCAGCACTGACTGCATACATGTCTGTTGGTGTGAAGCAGCACTGACTGTATACATGTCTGTTGGTGTGAAGCAGCACTGACTGCATACATGTCTGTTGGTGTGAAGCAGCACTGACTGTATACATGTCTGTTGGTGTGAAGCAGCACTGACTGCATACATGTCTGTTGGTGTGAAGCAGCACTGACTGCATACATGTCTGTTTGTTTTGAAGCAGCACTGACTGTATACATGTCTGTTGGTGTGAAGAGCACTGACTGTATACATGTCTGTTGGTTTGAAGCAGCACTGACGGCATACATGTCTGTTGGTGTGAAGCAGCACTGACTGTATACATGTCTGTTGGTGTGAAGCAGCACTGACTGTATACATGTCTGTTGGTGTGAAGCAGCACTGAAGCATACATGTCTGTTGGTGTGAAGCAGCACTGACTGCATACATGTCTGTTGGTGTGAAGCAGCACTGACTGTATACATGTCTGTTGGTGTGAAGCGCACTGACTGTATACATGTCTTTTGGTGTGAAGCAGCACTGACTGCATACATGTCTGTTGGTTTGAAGCAGCACTGACTGCATACATGTCTGTTGGTGTGAAGCAGCACTGACTGTATACATGTCTGTTGGTGTGAAGCAGCACTGACTGCATACATGTCTGTTGGTGTGAAGCAGCACTGACTGCATACATGTCTGTTGGTGTGAAGCAGCACTGACTGCATACATGTCTGTTGGTGTTGAAGCAGCACTGACTGCATACATGTCTGTTGGTGTGAAGCAGCACGACTGTATACATGTCTGTTGGTGAAGCGCACTGACTGTATACATGTCTGTTGGTGTGAAGCAGCACTGACTGCATACATGTCTGTTTGTGACAGCACTGACTGTTACATGTCTGTTGGTGTGAAGCACACTGACTGTATACATGTCTGTTGGTGTGAAGCAGCACTGACTGTCATACATGTCTGTTGGTGTGAAGCAGCACTATGATACATGTCTGTTGGTGTGAAGCATCACTGACTGCATACATTCTGTTGGTGTTGAAGCAGCACTGACTGCATACATGTCTGTTGGTGTGAAGCAGCACTGACTGCATACATGTCTGTTGGTGTGAAGCAGCACTGACTGTATACATGTCTGTTGGTGTGAAGCAGCACTGACTGCATACATGTCTGTTGGTGTGAAGCAGCACTGACTGTATACATGTCTGTTGGTGTGAAGCAGCACTGACTGCATACATGTCTGTTGGTGTGAAGCAGCACTGACTGCATACATGTCTGTTGGTGTGAAGCAGCACTGACTGTATACATGTCTGTTGGTGTGAAGCAGCACTGACTGTATACATGTCTGTTGGTTTGAAGCAGCACTGACTGCATACATGTCTGTTGGTGTGAAGCAGCACTGACTGTATACATGTCTGTTGGTGTGAAGCAGCACTGACTGTATACATGTCTGTTGGTGTGAAGCAGCACTGAATGCATACATGTCTGTTGATGTGAAGCAGCACTGACTGCATACATGTCTGTTGGTGTGAAGCAGCACTGACTGTATACATGTCTGTTGGTGTGAAGCAGCACTGACTGTATACATGTCTGTTGGTGTGAAGCAGCACTGAATGCATACATGTCTGTTGGTTTGAAGCAGCACTGACTGCATACATGTCTGTTGGTGTGAAGCAGCACTGACTGTATACATGTCTGTTGGTGTGAAGCAGCACTGACTGTATACATGTCTGTTGGTGTGAAGCAGCACTGAATGCATACATGTCTGTTGGTGTGAAGCGCACTGACTGTATACATGTCTGTTGGTGTGAAGCAGCACTGACTGTATACATGTCTGTTGGTGTGAAGCAGCACTGAATGCATACATGTCTGTTGGTGTGAAGCAGCACTGACTGTAGACATGTCTGTTGGTGTGAAGCAGCACTGACTGTATACATGTCTGTTGGTGTGAAGCAGCACTGACTGCATACATGTCTGTTGGTGTGAAGCAGCACTGACTGCATACATGTCTGTTG